TATATATATAATGCTATTCACTATTCAACAATTTTTACATTTGTTAAGCAGAAGAACTGAATAAACCAACATGTTTTAAACACTTATATTCCCACTGAAAAAGCAACTTTTCAACAAACCGTTGATGATAAGAACAGAATATTTATCTTAAACTCTCTTAAATAATGTTTACACATATTATAATGATTGAAAAACAGATTTGATTTTATGATTATGGTTTAAATATTTATTAGCTTTAATTTTTGCTTTTTTCTTGTCCTCCCTCCAGCTTTCTGAGACCCCCTCGCACCCCCTGGTGGATTCCTAAGGGGCTGCACAAACCATTTTGAAAAACACTGTTCTAACACATGCTTGGGATGCAGGGTTATCACTCAGTGTTTAGATTTCAGTTACCTGTATTTAGTTGTAATTTACCACCAGCACTGTGTGAACGTGTGTATGAATGTGTGTGAATGTGGGTTTGTTTCTGGTGACATTTGGGGGCAATTTTAAGACAAAATACCTAACTTTGGGGACAGCTGGTGCATTTTAGGACAAAAGTCGAGTCCCTATTTGGTTTAAATGCCATTGGTGTGTTGGGGGTTTGGTTTAAGACCAAGGTGTGAATTGAGTTTAGGTTAGTTTTAGGGTCAGGTAGAGGTACCTGTGAGGTTAGCCTTAGGGTTTGTGGTCAGGGTTAGGCTGTAGAAATGTAATGGAAGTCAATGGAATGTCCCCAAATGGATACCTGTGCAAACATGTGTGTGTGTTGGTGTATGCGTGTGTGAATGAATGTGTGTATGATTGAAGAGTAAAGTGCTTTGGACTCTGTAGGAACTTACTAAAGTCTCATTAAGTTCAAGCCATTTACTTAACGCATTTATAAGATGTGGTTAATAAGGAGGAAGTAAAGAAGGAAGAGTAACCACTTTAGCAAGTACATCATGTTTGTGCACAGTATATGCATTTATAATTATTTGGCTAAAAATGCATGCATTAGTCATTGTGCATTAGTGTGAAGCACTTTGAAGCCCTTAGACTTGATAAAGCACTGTACAAGTTCAGGCCATTTCCCATTTAAACATTTAAAATATCATTCTTGCATTGAAACCATAGACCATATGTCCAAATCCCATATTAACGATCTAGATTTTTGGGTATCTACAAGCAATCTTGATTCTGCAATTTTTCTGTTTCTCAGAAAATAAAGAGTTTTAGCTGCAGTCAGTCAGGCTGGTAAACAAGAAACAGTCAGATCTCCTGAACCTATCAAAGTTTTAAGACTTTTTTTTCTCAAAAAAAGTCTACTTTTTTTTATAACCAGTGCTATTATCAGTATTTAAAACCTACTTGATGTGTTTAAAAGGTGATAAGGTTCTTTGGTGTTTTAAACATCAAATATTAGCTCAGTAGATTTGGTCTTTATATGAGAGTATTTGACTCATTGTGCTCACAAAAAAAACTAAATTTCTTTAATACATGAATCAATATTTCCACTGTTCTCAGCAAACCTGCAGTAAGAAAAGGTTACCTTGAAAACGCGTCGTCGAGTCCGTCCTCCACATCCTGTTGAGACACGAAAGCGTGAATCAACGGATATAAAGTGCTGCAAACTCTAAACCTGCTGCTTTTAGACGTTCTGCCTCACAGGAATGTTTAATGTGTTACTAGAAACATATTCACTTAGAAAGAAACATCAGTTCATTTGTGAATTGGTCAGATTTCCTTGTTTTAAACCCTATTGCTGCACCACTCCAATGTTCCTGCTGACAGATAAATCTCATAAATGATGTTCGGTTCAGTTATTTAAAAAAATGCATTTAGTCCTAAACACAGAGCACAATTTCTCTCAATGAGATGGAAACCCCGTCATGGAAAACATGCAGTATTTTAATGAGCAAATCAGTTAGCAGTAAGATATTTTCATGAATATGATGCCATCTAGTGTTTGATATTTGTGAGTGAACAATCACTTAAAGGCGCTACAGCACAGAGCAGAACTAACCTCCAACCCTTTTCGAACAGACTGAAAATTTTGAATATCTTATGTACGAATCCTTTGAAGAAAATGTCCAAAATGTATTACTAAAGAAGGTTTTGAAGCAACTATCTCAGCAGTCCAATAACAATGATTTTGAGCACAAAAAGACCAAAACTTTGATGAACTTCCCAAGCTGTTTTCAAACGCAGCAGGGAAATTGCAACTTTTGAATATGATTTGTAAAATACCAAAGTTAGGTGTGCTACAAACTACATTTACTACACTAAAAACAAACCCTGTGTCTGTTCAGCATGTTTAATTTAAAAAAAAAATACAAGTTCCAAAAGAGCCAATACACCAAAAATACAAGAGATCATTAGATGCAGGTGTTTCAAATGTGGGCGTAGAAGGACAATTCTCCTGCGCGACCTACCCAGGAGTCGTGTTTGATGGGTCGTCTGCGGGTGGGATTACTGCGAGGCGACAGCGAGCTGAGAGAAGCTGAGAAGAAGGACCTGCGGAGCTTCCCCTCCATCGCAGTGGGCTTATGTGCTGCTGGGTGAGAGGGGGACGGCACGTGTGGAGGAGAGGCTGAAAAAAAAAGACGACAGCGTATTAGAACTACTTTCACGCTTTTCTCCCGTAACGAGTCCCTCTACAGGCCAAACGAGACTTCACTCAAGCTTCTACTCTGCTCCCAGGCCAGTAATTGAAGTAATCCAGGAGAAATCGTCTCTCAGCTAACAACAAAACGAAGAGGTGATTAAGTCTCGTCATGTGGCTCCTTTGACCCTCTGAGGGGCAGGAAAGCATCTTGACCTCTAAATGTCACGGCCATTGGAAACCACTTGAAGTCTGCTGTTACCCTGCAAGAGATTCATAATGAGGTGATTTGTCCTCAGAGTGACAGTGAGACAGCTCCAACTCCAACTGTCCATATTCATAAGTCTCATTAAGGTGGACACAACTTAACCAGTAAAGGTCACTGAATGAACAGAGCTTAGTTGGGGGGAAAATCAGGAGACATGTCTGTGAATAAAATGTATTTTTATAGTTAAATGCTCAAGATTAATTCTCAGCTACTAAAAAACTTTATTTTTGCTTAATAGCTGTAAAAGTGACTGAGTTGTAGCCAATTTGTGCTGGCTAAGTTTAATTAGCTGCTGTGGCCATTTTGAATTGGGCTGACTCCAGAAGTCAATCAGTTGCAGATGTGCACCCAAAGATTATTTCCTGAATGTTTCTTTAAAACTAATCCAGTGGTTCATGAGACATTATGCTAACAGACAGAAAGAGTTGATTCCAATTGTTTAAGCCAAGGTTTTAAACACAATTCTTGCACAATAATTCAGAATTCAAGCTATATGTTGTAAAGGACTCTCAGCTAATGCCACACCAAAGTTTAGCTCAGTATCAAGAAATCTGACTGAGTTAAAGCCATTTTGTGTTGGCTAAGTTTCATTAGCTGTGGTGGTCATCTTGAATTGGGTCAACTCCAAAAGTTAAACAGTTGCAGATGTACACCCAATGGGCCTCATGCAAGAACCGTTCGTACGCACAGATTTGTTCTTAAATTGTGCGTACGAGTGATTTAGGAGAATTTGTGGCATTCACCAATGT